CCGTGTCGTATGTGGTGAACAACCCTGTATATTCCAGAATATTCAGATTTATTTGTCATATCAAAAATCCATTCTTTAATAATATAAAAATGTATTCATCATCATGTTAAATAGATCAATTATTATAAGGGTTATATATTATATTATAATTATAAGGGTTAAAACATATTGGAGCAGTTCACCCCTCCGCGCCGCGATCGATGTGTAGATCCGGTATTTTAAAAGAAAAGGTGACAGACAATCAAGACATTTACAATCTTGAGGCCTCAGCATCCAGCAACACACGGTAGTGTCTCCAGAGTCAACTTGATTTTTCTCTTCCCAAACTTGCTACAACTTTTAAACAGCGTGCTTTCTTTCCTGCGAAAGAATCTATTAGCTCATCAGAATCGATCTCAAAGGCAGTTTTATTTTCAATGACTAGGATCGCGAGGCCAGATAGACCAGATTCCTGACTCATTGTTAAACGCAGATGAACCCTTAGGATGTGTTCAAAATCTAAATCGGCGATTTAAAATCAAATGACTTCTTTGATTTTATTTTCAACCGTACATATCATATTACGATTTTGGCACCTCCAAAACTACCATTCTGGGCAGGTTCCCCTGTTTGCCCACTCTTACCCCCCCCCCCACTCCCCTAGAACCAGGGCCGGTTAAGAGTCCATTTCACTAGTCCGAAAAAGTAACAAAATAAGCGTTCGGCATTTAACGTTTTATGTAAAATCGGCTAGGTATTTTTATCACAAATGAAGAAGGAAATTAGAGATAAAGGATTAGGTATGCTAAGTATATTCGTATTGTAGCACATTTTTAGACAACTTCTTTATTTTTAAGATATTGATGGTCAAACATCAACAAAATATTTCTTATGTTTGGACTAAATTTTCTCGAAAACAAAGACATAATTTAAAATTCCGTTACAATACGGAAATAGATTGAAGTTTTTTGATTACAGTGATATATAATTTATATGGTTTTGCAACAAATTGCTCGCTATTTTATGGCAAATGCTGTAACCCTGCAAACCTTAATACAGCCTTAATCAAAGCACGTGGGTTTGGAATTTTGAGTGTAGCTTAACACGACAGGATCGGACTAAACCTTAGGCAGATTTCTGAAATATAATATATATTTCCTTCGGCCACACACCCGCTTTACCCGATCCCTGAGAGCGACCCGAACGATACAGCGTAATATACTCATAAATATCATGAAGCAAAAATTGATTCACAAGCAGAGGCGCAACTAGAGGGGGTCAGGGGGGGTTTAGCCCCCCCAGATGACCAGTGCGTCTCGTATAAAATTGGTTTCAACCTCACATCAATAGTGTCTTACAGTGACCTAAGCCCCCCCAAAAGACTTGAGCCCCCCTAAAAGTATATGTCTAGTTGCGCCCCTGTTCACAAGAAGCTGTTGTGTGTTTGTCAACAGAAAAAAAATTAAGTTTGTTCCATTAATTAAATACGTAACAGTAGTGAGGAAAACAGTTACTATAATCTCTAATTTTTTAAATTAATTTTTTACTCCATTTTCTCTTACTTCTTTTTTGAAGAATTTTATCAGCGATCAAATCAATTTTCCTCATCTATTTAATTTGCCTATCAAATTTACGAAATATAATTTCGCTATTTTGAACTGTAAAATTGAAAAATTCACCGTGTCCAAATCATTATTATTTGGTTCTACTTCTTTCCCTGTAATAAGCATATCCGTTATTATTAGTTCTTTATATTATTTAAATAAATACTCTTTACGTTTTAAAAAGATTTTGATTTTTATAATTAGTTCTATATATAATAATGTTACTAATAATTTTGTTGAATTAATTTATACTTATTTTTTGTTCAATTAAAGGCTGTTGTAGCGACTCAATAATTATTAAAAAGTGAAGTACTACCATAGTACTACCCTACTATTTACTCTTTATATAAACCAGTCGGGTACAGTTTGTTTAATTTATTGTTTGTTGATGGATTTGTTACTTAATAAGTTCAATTTATGTTAACTAAACATTCACTATTTTATTTAATTGACTCACTTATCATTCTAATTTGTAATAAAGCAAAAATTTAAAAATAGTATCGTGTTTTATTAAACATTTCAAAATTTCTAGAGAAACTCGAGAAATTTTGGTCGAGAAATCATCACCAAATCCTACTCCGGAATCTGGACCAACCAAAACACGTATCAACAATCATCAGTAGATTAAAACTAAAAGATCTAAAGATCGTAAGACCAATGAGGAAAATAGTTGTAGTTAAAACCTGTTGCTGTTATAACAGCAATATAAAACATTTACTTAACATTTACTTATTTAACTTTTACTACAATACATTCAAACGCATTATACAGGGTGGTCCGAACTGTATTCCGGAAACTTCGGCAGCATATTTTGCAGATAAAAATAAATAATAAATAATAAAAGTAAAAACAGAGATACAATTTCATTTTTATTCCGATTTTTTCGAAATAATTTCTGAAGTAACGTCAATATTTGGATGAAAATTGGTGTCTAGAAGTTTTTTGACATGAGAAATTTGATTTTGATGTCAATATGACTCCTGCTAGAAGAGGGCGCCACCTACATGTGTTTTAACTGTTTTGAAGCTTAATAACTTTTTGTCCGTACCTGTATAAATCTACCGAGGGAAAAAATATACATCTCTGTGACTTTTTACGTAAAAAATACCTCTTTGTAAAAATCGCTACGAGTAACCATTCTCAAGATATTTAGAATGGAAATAGTCAATACATGTCATTATTGACGAAAAATAAACACGTTGAATGGATAATTATTTCAATGAAATAATAAATTTGGGAGATTTTTATTTTTTTAAATTAATCATAAATTTTTCTGCAAAAAATGATGATAAAACAGTTTCTGTGGAACTTTTGACACAAAAATTTTCAAATTTATGATTTCAGTGTAATAACTATTTAGTCAACATTAGTTTAATTTATGTCAATGATGACAGGTATTGATAATTTCGATTCCAAATATCTCGAAAACCAATACTCGTAGCGATTTTTACCAAGAGACTTTTTTTACGTAAAAAACGTCGTAAATATATATTTTTTTACTCAGTTGTTTTATACAGGTACGGACGAAAAGTTATTACTCTTCAAAATATTTAAAAAATATAAGTAAACGTAAAAAAAAGTTTCAACCCCCAACTGTTATGAATATTTTTTATTAGTTTTGTTGCTGTAATAATAAGAGCTTTGCCATTTTTAATAAAATCCAAAAATTCTTCTATGAGATATATATTAAATGAGATTTGAAATTCCGTTCTAAACATGTTTCTAGCGTCTGTCTACTTCAACATCATACGTGAAAATATATAAATAACAACCCCTTAAACCATGAAGGCATATAATTTATTCCAGCTTTAAAAATACTTCTAATCTATAATTTTTATATCCTTTTTGGCAAATTTCCTTTACGCAAGTTTTTATTATCGAATATTCATTATTGATTAGAATCTGCTTCTTTTATTTCTAAAATTTTTTAAGATTTTAATTAATTCGTGGAAAAGAACTGTTTTTAAATTCAAGAAATTAATAAACATGTAATTTTAATAATAAATTTTACAATTTTATTGTTTAACTAGCGTGTACCAGCGACTTCGTTCGCGACGAATTAATCATTTGTAATGGTGATGATAAAGCAAAGCAAGAATTTCTATTAACATACAAACTGGATAAAATTTTCTCACATTTATGTCAGCATGAGACAAAACAATATGGCGATATTATTATATAACTTGGTAATATCTGAGGGGTAGTTTCATCTCGTTGGGATTTGACTTTCGAAAAATCCGTTTGCCAAAAATAAGCTTTTTACGTCAAGCAGTTTAAGCAGAATCGTGGTTAAGAAATTACCCAACTTTTTGGAACACCCTGTATGATTTTTTAAAAAAATTCAAAATATGTAAAAAAACCAAATAAAGTATGCTTGTCCAAGCGTTTTCCCGAAAGACTAACCGTTTTTTAAATAACAAATATTGTAATATTTGAAGGGCGTTTTCACCCTCTTGGAATTTGAGATTCGAGAAACCCCTCCTTATCGAACCTCTACACCCCACGGTCAATCCGTTTGCCAAAAATCAGCTTTAAACGTCAAGCAGTTTAAGCAGAATCGTGATTACTCAATGGTCATATTTTATGAAACACCCTGTATAAATTTATAAAAAATCTTAAAATATGTAAAACAACAAAATAAAATATATATGTTTAAGAATTTTTCGCAAAAACTCACCGGTTTTTAAATAAAAAATATTTTAATATTTGAGGGATAGTTTCACCCCCTTAGAATTCGAGTTTCGAAAAATCCCTTCTTATCGAACCCCTACACCCTAAAGTCAATCTGTTTTTCAAAAATCAGCTTTTTACGTCAAGCGCTTTAAGCAGGATCGTGATTAATCAATGACCAGATTTTTCAAAACACCCCGTATACATTTTTAAAAAATCTTAAAATATGTAAAAAAACAAATAAAATAATAAAAAAAACAATAAAATATACGTGTTTAAGCGTTTTTTCGGAAACTTGACCGTTTTTTAAATAAAAAAATATTGTAATATTTGAGGGGTGGTTTCACCCTCTTGGAACTGGAATTTCGAAAAGTCCCTTCTTATCGAACCTCTACACCCTAGAATCAACCTGTATGCCAAAATTGAGCTTCTTACGTTGAGTGGTTTCTGCAGGATCATGATTAATCAGTATGTCAGTCACTTAAGGATTTTATATATTAGTATAGATAAAAACTTGGCTATAAAACAAATAAAAATCGAGACATTAGGGCTTTGCGTGGGGACGCGGGACTTTTGGATCAAGAGTTTCGCTAACCATGTTAGTTAGCATCATCAGCAGATGATTAAAACTCAAAAGAATATTATCATGCCATTAAGAAACACCCTGTATTTAAAATATTTACAGATGAATTCATGTTACTGGTAAAAAATAGTGAATTGATATATGTCTTTTAATACAACACTTACCTTAAAAAATATTTAGCAGTTCAAATCAAAATAAACCACTCGCGAGCTTTCTCTCAGCGAAATGCACTTGCCTATATCGAAAGCACCGCCTCTCATCAACACGCGACTAAACAACCGAATTTACTTTCTTCTCGTCTTCATCCGGTGAAAAAATAAAAAAGCACATCCATCGACGATGCCGGAGATAAGGATTAGAGTGCGGTAAGCAGTACCTTCACTTTCTTTCTGCGGCGCAGGTTAACACCGGTCGTCTTTGATTTTTGCCGGTAGTACTTGCGTCTCCAACGAATAAAAGCGCGCTACTAAACGGCGAGACGGTGGTACGCCGCTCTCTATTCTAGTAGTTATTCGGCAGTTAGACGATGTTAATAGCGGTATTATACCGATTAACTTTTTTGCTCGTCGATCAGGTGATGATCACAAACCATTGAAGCTGCAATCGCTTTCGATTCATGTAGCTACTTAACAACATAAATGGAGAGCTATGGAGAATGAAAAAAAAATGAAAGAATGAAAAAGATAAATATAGAAAAATAAATACAGAGATCAAACACAGTTGCACCATCGACAAGAACAACTACTATGAAAAAATATGCCAGGAAATAGAATCTCACGCTTTCACAAATCAACCAGGGGACCTATTTAAAAAGATAAAGTACCTCACAAGAGAATTCAAGCCAAAAACATGGGCAATAGAAGACGATTGAGGACAACTTAAAACCGAAATTAACGAAATAGTGGAACGATGGCGAACATACTGCGGAACACTGTATAAAGAAAAAGATCCTCAGCCTAGTTGCTCTTTCCACAGTGATATAATTAATGAAGAACCAGACGTACTGAGATCGGAAATTGAAGCAGCTATAAAAAACCTAAAACATCATAAAGCCCCGGGACCAGATCACATCACGGCCGAAATGCTCCAAGCGTCGGGAGATTTTGGTGTGGACATCTTGCACAAGTTATGTAATATGATATGGCATACTCACCAATGACCATTAGATTGGACCGATTGTTCCATAATAACCATCCACAAAAAGAAATCTCCAGCCAAATGCGACAACTTTCGTACCATTGCGCTAATTTCACATGCCAGTAAGATTCTTCTTTATATCATTAACGAAAGGTTAAAACCGTATATTCAACCACAAATCCCTCCAGAGCAAGCAGGATTCACAAGAGGTCGAGGAACACGTGAACAAATTTTGGATGTCCGTCAGATTATCGAAAAGGCCCGAGAATTTAACAATCCTCTCTATATTTCTTTCATAGACTATCGAAAAGCTTTTGACAAAGTCAAATGGTCAAAACTATGGATGGTTCTTAAAGAAATGGGCGTGTCACTTCATTTGATTTCATTGATCCAGAATCTCTATGTAAATACCAAAAGTAGAATTACCATCAATGGCGTTATTTCGGAAGACTTCCAGCCTACCTGTGGTGTTAGGCAGGGGTGCATACTATCTCCTCAGTTATTCAATATATATATATATATATATATATATATATATATATATATATATATATATATATATTTATTAAGTCGACGAGTCAGACCCGGTACGTTTAAGATAGGCCGTCAGACCCGGGGTATATCGGACGAAAAATGTTCAAGCGATGCCTTCAGGCCCTGATGCTGGACCGTTTAATTTGTCCCATTTGTATAAAAAATAGACGTTTATTCGTTTTCGCCAGACCCACGACGTTGCCGCTTTTAATTCTCAAATATTTATATTAGAATTAGACGAACGGACCTTTTGACGCGGTAATTGATCACAGTGCAGAAGTAAAAACGGTGCATTTCTGCTATAGTGAATATTATTGTACTTATTGTTAGTATTAGATATATTCTGTCTTATAAATCTTTAATAATCGCATCTGTACGAAAGCGTTTTTATATGACATTTCTTTAAAAATTAAATTTCTTTGTAATAAGCATAATCAAGTTACAATGCATTATCAATTTCGTTTAGTAGATTTTGTAAGTGTTTACTAAGGGATGATGGAACGCCGTTTATTATCTTTATACTTTAAAAGAAAAAAAAGTTTAGCTACTTCTACAACGAAATCATAGCATCGAAATAAATTTTTAGATATTCGTACAATTTTTTGACACGACGATCGATTGCGACATTGACGTTTGTCATTTCAAAGGTAATTTGACGCCGTTTTTTGGAATCATATATATGCCATGTGTATACTTATCTAATAAGTAAAGTGTATTCATTTAGAATATTAAGAGATTCAGACGAAAAAAATCAAAATAGGTAGTAAGTATTCTTTAAGATTGTTTCTACAAGTTTTATTTAAAAATTGTAACAGAGAACTATTATTATTATAGGGCCCCTCTCGGACCGCTTGGACGAGTCCATTATAAAAAAGATCGAGGGACAGTAGGTAGAAAAAACATATGATTTGATTTGTCACGGAAACGTAAAGTTTAATTAAAGTGTTTTGTTGAAATTCTTCGAGTTTTATCATAAAGTTTATGGTTCGACACCCAACAAAATAATTGTAACGAATCCCCGTCACAAAATATAAATAATTTAAAGTCTAATCTGGCGAGTTGAGTTTGGATAAAACTGTAAGCAAAATGTTTAAAAGTGTAATGTAATCATTTAAATTTAAATAAAATTCGTATAGCAGTAAAGTAGTAAAAAAAGTGTAGGTTTAAAAGCATGAACTTCTGGGAATTCCCTATTTGTATAGTCTGGGAACCACCTACTTTTCTGAGAAACATACTTTCATGTTCAATTTATTAGAATTGTGATTAAAAGAAAGCACTATTCTCATTCATATTGCGATTAATAAATATTAATATTAATAATATTATACTACCATATATTACTCAAATTAAGTTTTCGAATACATAGTAAGTAAACATAGATAGAAGATAGAACATATTATAGAGATGCAACCATAGAACGTGTTTGTCATATTTATATGGTGTTGGTAGATAGCATTCAACCGTAAACTGAATATACAACGTATTACCACAGTATTACCACGGTATTACTGTAGCAATCAACATTTTTGTTACACTAAAATTACTATTTTAGATCTTAGTGAACGTAGTAATGTAATAAAATTAATTATTGTACTGATTAACTACCATATCGAAAAAAAAAACGGCGTCAGCGGTGGCATGAAATGAATATTGCTGTCATTTTATACCGGGTGCGTCTCAAAAGTGGCTCACCGCTATAACTTTTTAATTTTTTTTTAGATAAAAAACGAGATTTGGTATGTAAGTATATGACATAAATTAGGAATTATTGACGTATTCAATTGTTTTGGGTCACTTCCTGTTTCACCGGAAATGACTACAACTTTTGATTTTTAAATGACACCCCCGGTATTTTTTTGCATTATTTGATAGAAAATGACACTCTGAATCGAATGACATATCATATGTCAACTTTTGACATTCTCGCTTTAAAAAAATTCTATTTTAAATTTCAATTTAGAGTGTCATGGCTGTGTTAAAAACACTAATTTTTAATCAAGGAGCCTTGGAAAAATAGATTTGATAATCTAATGATTTTCGTGTCTTGTCCGGGCCCGTTCTTATAAGATGCCCAAATCGTATTTTTAATCATATCTCAATTTTTCCAAACGGAACAAGGGAGGCTCGTTAGCATATTTGGAAAAAGCATTTTTTACGAATAATTTGGTACCACACACATGGTATTTCGAGTCAAATTGTCATTATGAACCGCATGTTACAATTTCAAATAAACCATATGCGAAAATGTAAAAAAATTGACATATTATGATATGTCATTCTATTGAGGGTGCATCCACACTATCCTAAAAACGGCCTATCGGCGTAACGGCGTAACGACCTTGAATAGATTTCCAGTAATTCTATTGGCGGATGCGTCTCAAAAGTGGTCCACCGCTATATCTTTTTTATTTATTTTTTTTGGATAAAAAAACGAGATTTGGTATGTTAGTATATGACATAAATTGGAATTGATTTACGTATTCAATTGTTTTTGGTCACTTCCAGTTTCACCGGGAATAACTACAACTTTTGATTATTAAATGACACCCCCGGTATGTTTTTACATTATTCGATAGAAAATGACACTCTGAATAGAATAATATATCATATGTCAACATTTGACATTTTCGCTTAAAAAAATAGTATTTTAAATTTCTATCTATTATAGAGTGCCATGGATGTGTTAAAAACACTAATTTTTAATCAAGGAGCCTTGGAAAAATAGATTTGATAGTCTAATGATTTTCGTGTCTTGTCCGGGCCCGTTAAGATATCAAAATCGAATTTTTAATCATATCTCAATTTTTTCAAACGGAACAAAGGTGGCTCGTTAGCATATTTGGAAAAAGCATTTTTCTACGAATAATTTGGTACCACAATTTGGTACTCGAGTCAAATTGTCATTATGAACCGCATGTTACAAATAAATCATATGTGAAAATGTCAAAAATTGACATATTTATGATATGCCATTCTATTCAGTGTGATTTTCTATCGAATAATGTAAAAACATACCGGGGGTGCCATTTAAAAATCAAAAGTTGTAGTCATTTCCGGTGAAACAGTAAGTGACCAAAAACAATTGAATACGTCAATCAATCTTAATTTATGTTATATACTAACATACCAAAACTCGTTTTTATCTGACAAAATAAAAAATGTTGTAGGGGTGAGCCACTTTTGAGACGCACCCGGTATACGACGATCGATTTAAATGAAAATAATGTTTAAATACAACGAAGTCATAGTATGGAAATAAATTTCTAGGTACTCTAGGATTTAGACGAAAAAATTTTAGGTACTTACTTCTACAGTGAAATCACAGCATCGAAATAATTTTGTAGTTACTCCTACAATTCTTTGACACGACGCGCAACGCGACGATCGCTGATCGATTTAAATGAAAAAAAAATAGGTACTTCTACAACGAAATCATAGCATCGAAATAAATTTTAGGTACTCGTACAATTTTTAACCCGCCGATCGAAATAATTTTGTTTCTAGTATTTATTAGCCGAACGACCGGTTTCGACAATAAAAGTTTAGTTACTTCTACAAATCCGGTGATGACAGCAATTCAAAAAAAAGATTAGACCGTAAATTATTGATATTTTTAAATGAAACTAGTAGGAATAATTTTTAAAGAATACTTACTTTCATTTTTTTCGTCTGAATTTCTTAATATTATAATTAGAGTATGAGCATCTTGTTTTCTACCAAATATAACACGGCTATATCTTCGTTTCCCTTTAATAGTTTGGTTTACCGTGTTGCCGGTTCTTGGGTCTGAA